ACATAATGAATCGAAAAGGTAAAAATGATACCTTTGTTCTTATTTCTTCTTTCGAAAAAAAAACCTTTACAAACGTTTCAAACTCTCTGCGTATTTCTTGTGGATTTGTAATATGCGTGTGTAATCTCCGGTAAATATTATGTCCTTTGTGTGGCTAGTTGTGTGTCTATTTATAATACAGAAAAACGCCCTATCTTTTAGCATTTGATCCCGAGTGAAACTCGGTTTTATTGGTTGGTGAGAGTCCTAATATGATTATTCTTGGTTGTTTGTTGGTGATGCATGCGAGATCCTTGCGTGATGTTGGTGGTTGTCGAGAAATCCGGTGACAGTTACGTACGTGACCAGAGGCGTGGGGCGTGGGGTCTTCGGGTGCTTGGGGCGTGTTGCGGTGCCGTACGAGTGATGGGGGTTAGGGTCAGAAACCCTAACTTGCTTGGGTTCTTAGATGCTGGGTTGGGCTATGTGCATGCTTGGGTTTTGCTGGGTCACGTGTAACGGGCTGTTTGATGGGGCCTGTTACATATAAAATAGATGTATGTAAATGTGTGTATGGCATATGTAATAAATTATTATATAATATAATCTATAATGTAAATACACTATATAATGTAACGACATTAAAGGACATATTATATAATGGGACAAAATTTGGTATCTTCAGTTCTTTAATCTTTTTTACGGATATTTCCACAACTACAATATATATGCTGACATTACTCAAACGTTGCAGTTTCTTTAATACTTATTTTCATTTCTTTAATGGTGACAAAACACAAACTTTAGCTGTTTTTCTCAGTAACATTGTGGACCAGACCTATACCGGTGTCTACCGTGTTAATTTATCCTTTCATTTCTATCCTTCTGATTGCAATGTGATGAATGATGATGATAAGAAGATCGGTTCGAATTGCTTGGCATCTAACTATCATTCTTCTAAAGCTGACCTGATCTTACGATTTCCCGAGATCAGCCATTGAACGATGGTTCGTGGTTCCAAGTTCGGGATTCAAACGATACCGAGTTGAAGCAATTTCGAGTACCCTCAAATGTGTATAGAGCTGTATTGGAAGTTTATGTATCTTTCCATGAAAACGATGAGTTTTGGTACGGAAATTATCAGAATGAGTACATTGCTGATAATAATCTAATGGACACTCCTGGAAATGGGCCATTTAGGGAAGTTGTAGTTCATCTTGATGGTGAAGTGGTTGGTGCAGTTTGGCCTTTCACTGTCATCTACACAGGCGGAATCAATCCTTTGCTTTGGAGTCCAATTACCGGCATTAGCTCCTTCAACCTTCCGTCTTACGATATCGAACTCACCCCGTTTTTGGGCAACTTGTTGGATGGAAAACTTCATACATTGGGGTTCAGTGTTACCAATGCCTTGAATGTATGGTTCATAGATGCCAATTTGCACCTCTGGTTAGATACCAAAAGTGTGAAAACAGAAGGGAAGCTTGTGGAGTGCAGTAACAAGGCTTCTAGTGTCATTGAACAATCTGATTCCAAGGGATTGAATGGCAATTTCTTGACAAGTTCAAAGAGGTTTATATCTTCAACAGGATGGATCAAATCTTCTTATGGCAATATCACGACGCATTCGATTCAACATTTCGGTTACAATAACTCGATGCAAATAGATAAAGATGGAGATTTCCAGGTCGTGAACCAGATGATCCATTACAATGACAGGGTTTACACGGAGCTGCCATTTCATTATGTTCATGCAGAGGAATCGTGGAAGACTTTTATCAACTTTTATGCAGACTTCACGGCCCTAGGAGAAGGATCATTCTCTTTTATCAGGAATGTCACGTTAGGATTTAACGAGAACAAGTACGAGAATGTTGGTTTCGATTTCTTCATCTGATTTCTCGAAATATCCAGAAAGCTTGATCGGTCCTTGCTGTGAAAAACGGTTCGACTGTGACGAGATTGCAAGGCACAGAGCATGTGTATGGATACCATGGAAGTGATTTGTGCTATTCCAGGAACATAAGCAGCTCCAACAGCTTGATTGCCTATGATTAAGTGATGAAATTGTGTGATGATTTTGAACTTAAGTCGCCCAAAAAACAGCAGCATTCACCTGCAAAGGTTTTGATGTAAGATATTCCAGGATCCTATATTCAGCTTGACTGATCAAACTATTAGTTGTTTTATAAACTGTTCATATTTAATTTTATTTTGCTACTTCTTTGTCACTTCAAATTACCAATGTATTACACCATGATAATTTCTCCAGAGGAAGGGTCGCATGCACGAGAATTACAACAACGGACTACGTTTAATTAGTAATTTGAATTATATCTCTAAACTTTTAAAAAAAAAAAATTATTTAATAAATCCAACCTAATATGAATACCTTGCTTTTCTTAACATCATTATCGGTATTCGATTTATTAATTGATAAAATTGAATTAAATCATATCAATATTTTAATAAAAGCGTTAAAGTCTAAATGCTTACCATTTAATTAAAATACTTAATACATCATCTTGACATATCAATTGATGTTAATACTTGTCTTTTCCAGTCTTACTGACCAAGAATGCGATGATAGAAAAATTAATTACTGACCAAGAATGCAATAATAGAAAAATTACTCATGAATGGCTAATTTGATAATTAGTTGCTTATAAATTTGTTTAGGCTTAATTATAAAATAAATGCTAAAATTATTGCACTTTTTACAAATAGATATCTAAACTATTTTCTGATTAATCTAAATGTCTAATGTTAACATTTTAAGTGTTCAGACCATAACAATCACTAAATTTTACCGTTAAGTAACACATGTCAAGTTATAATAATTTGTAAATATTTTTAAAAAGTAATTTTAAAAGCTTAAATTATTGTTATTTTTCAAATAAAACTTTAAATTTCTCTAAAATCTCAAATCCCAAAGCATAACTTCGTATCCGGCCATCCCTGTCGCTGCTGCCCTGCCGATCGCCTATCCACTCGTCGCCTACCGATCATTCTCCTATCATAGTCTCAATCCCCAAAATTCCTAAACCTAATTCCATAAATTCAAACCTTAAATCCCTAAATTACAATTTAATTACGTTCGAATCTCGCCGGCGTTGTTGCGCTTTACCCTTTGTTGCCGTTGGATTACAAATTTTCAATTGCAACTCAAAGTTTGATTTGGTTGGTGCGCAAATCAATCTGACTTGTGCGAAAATCAACCCTAAATCTCTTGTTGTATGAATCTGTTCGTTGGTTGCTGGCTACAATGGTGGCCGTCGTTGAATGATGGGTGATCGTCAATGGTGATGGTGGCCGGCGAGAGAGGTTAGGATAACAGATTTGAATTTTTTTAAGGATTTTGAGTTTTTCCCCGTAATTTTAGGGAAAAAAGGATTTTTTAATAAATATAATGATTTTCTAAAAAAAATAATAAAATATCCAGAATATGATAGGTGTCATTTAATAGAATTTATTATTCTAGACACTTAAAATGGTAAGATTTATAACATTTGACACCTAGATGATTCAAAAAATAATTTAAACACATATTCATGAAAAAAATATAATTTGAATACTTATTTTATAATTAAGACATTTTTATAATTAGTTAAGAATTCGTTTATATTGTAATCAGGATTAAGGTTTGAGTTTTATCCATAATTTCTTTTAGCAATAAAAATAATAATGTATGCTCTTTTACATCATAAAAACCTGGCTTCGGAGTAAAATTAAGTTTTACCATTTGTTTACTTTTATTCTTAAAGTAAAAGTTAATAAAAATTTAATTACTAAAACTTTATTTTTATCGTTTTTAGCATTATAATAACAAATAGACCTTATGGATTTGAAAAATGGAGCAAAATCTTAAGAGGTAAAAATCAGGTGAGGTAAAGATAAATTTGACTGAGAAAATTTGGTCTGATAAATGACAATAACAAAATTATTTGGAAAATTTTAATTTAATGATAGCGTTAATGTGAACATTAATCCCTACTAGAAAATTTATCTATTAAAATCAAATGTGTAACATGAATCGATCCAAATTAATTAAAGTGAATTCTTGAAACAGAGAAGACAACCAAAAAAAATCTCTCAAGAGGTTTCTTTTCTTCTTGTACTTGGAGAAAATGATAAAGGATATGGTACTTCATTATTTTATAAATAAAAAATTAAAGCGAATATTTTAAAAACCAATGAATAAAAGAATAATAGGTTAAGTTTTAATTTTAAACTAATTAATTTATGAGTCAATTTATAGTGTGATTTTTTCTTTTTACAACAATGTGACTTAAAGATCGTTGTAAAACTTTTAAAAATAAATTACCATTAATATTTATATATTTGCTCATTAAAATTATATAAAATTATTAATTTAAAAAGTAATTATTTGAATTAATCTCATCAAAAATTAAAATTCAGATGTACCCATTGAAGGGTATATCCAAAAAGGAAGAGGCTAAAACATGATGGAAAATCCAAGTGACCCCAGGTACATGTGAGGGGTAGTGCGCAAGCGGTGGCTATTGCTTATCGCTTTGCAAAGCCACTGCCACTAAATAAAGGCAACATGAATAATTGCACCACAGCTAAGGCCTTTCAAAGCCATCATCAGTTCAGTCCGCTATGGCGGCTCTTGCCTAAGCCTTCAATTTACGCCTCCATTCAATGTTGTTTGCTTGCACATTAATGTGTCTAATTTACGATTCGTATACGACGTAACTTTAATATGATACGTATATTAAATTTATCGAATTTCTTTTATTATTTATATGTGTATTGAACTTCCAGAATTAGGAAATGTTAACATCGGGAGAAGTACTTGTTTTGTTCTGTCTGTTTTATAGTAAACAAACGTCAAACACGGTGGATTTTGTATGACATTATCCACATCTTTTGTAATTTTTAAAAATGCTTTATTTTTCATTTTTTATACCTTTAATATCCAAAGTACCCTTGCGGGAACCTTATAAATATAGATATACCCCTTGCTTCATTTCCATCACCTTGAAAATAGAAGCTAACAAGTTTCAAACGGCCAAAATGTTTAAGTCCTTTTCTTTAATCATCTCCTTGTTTCTGTTTTGTTTCAATGCCTTTGCTACCGTTCCTCCCTCTGCAACATTTAAGCACGTCAACGATGGCGAATTCGGGCCATTTGTCGTTGAATATCTCGGAAATTATCGTGTCATAAGTATAGCTAATGCCCCATTTCAGCTTGCCTTTTATAACACCACCCCTGATGCTTTCACCCTTGGGTTACGCATGGCTAGCACGCGTTCGGAGTCGTTGTTCCGTTGGGTTTGGGAAGCTAACCGGGGAAACCCGGTTCGCGAGAATGCAACGTTCTCTCTCGGGGCTGATGGAAACCTTATCTTGGCCGATGCTGATGGCCGAATTGCTTGGCAGAGTAACACTGCCAACCGAGGTGTGGTGGGGTTCAAATTGTTGTCAAATGGTAACATGGTGCTACATGACTCCAAGGGTAAGTTCATTTGGCAAAGTTTTGACCATCCAACTGATACACTCTTGGTGGGTCAGTCACTTAGAGTTGGAGGCCCGACCAAGCTTGTGAGCCGAGCATCGGTCCGAAACAACGTCAATGGGGCTTATAGCTTGGTGATGGAGCCCAAACGGTTGGTCTTGCAGTATAAAGGCTTGAACTCTCCTAAGCCATTGGTTTACTTCAAATCATCAGTTTGGCCAAGCACACAAGATGGCACATTACAATCTATAACACTAAACGTTGAACCGGACACTCATGAGGGTCTTGCTTATCATATTGTCCTAGATTACACCGTGGCTAAATCCTCCTCCGGCGGCACAGGGAATCTCATATTGGCTAGGCCTAAATACAACAGCACGTTGTCGATCCTCCGGCTCGATATAGACGGTAACCTCAGGATTTTTACCTACAATGACCAAGTCGATTCAAGAGCATGGGAAGAGACATTCACTCTCTTCTCTAGGGACTCAATATGGGGCACGGAATGTGAATTGCCTGAGCGATGTGGGAAGTTCGGGCTTTGTGAAGAGAACCAATGCGTTGCTTGCCCATCACCCGAGGGATTGTTGGGTTGGAACAGGAATTGTGAGGCGAAGAAGGTGAGCTCGTGTAGGCCTAATGATTTCAGCTACTACAAGCTAGAAGGAGTTGAGCATTTCATGAGCCGATACAATGAAGGACAAGGGCCCATCAAAGAGAGTGACTGTGGGAAGAAATGCACTACGGATTGCAAGTGCTTGGGGTACTTTTACCATAGGGAAACATCCAAATGTTGGGTTGCTAATGAGTTGAAAACCCTGGCTAAAGCATCCAACCCTTCTCATGTGGGTTATATAAAGGCACCCAAAAAGTGATGGGTAGTAGTAACTAAAATAATCCAAGTATTAAGATAAGGGCTAAAGTGTAGCAAAAGTTTACAGGCAAAATAATGTAAACTAAAGCAGAATAAATCAGCTGTATCCACTCTTTATGTTATGAATTTAAGATTTTTAAGTGAATAAAAATATGATTATAAGAGCATAAAAATCATTTTATGTTTGAAAAGTTTCGCTCCTTTTTTTCGTTCTACTTACTTCAATTTAGGTGATTAGAAAAGAGTTTCGAAAGGAAAAAAAAACGAAATATCTATATCTTGTTTAGATCGATAAAATTAATGAAAATTAAAATAACTTTTATTTTGTTAAATAATGAAAAAAGAAAATATATTGATATTTTGTAACAACTTATTAACTAAACATGGATTCATCCTTCAAATAATTCAGAAAAAAAGTAATCGGAAAGTTGAGTTTCATTATTATTATGACAATTAAATTTTGTCCATGCCTTACAAAATATAATCAATATAAGGGTACAAGTTTGACAGAACAGACCACATGTTAAACCTATCCATAAGCCCTGGATAAATCACACACGCACACAAAAGATAATTAGTGGGTGAAAACTAAAATAATAAAAACAAAAATTATTATTACTATAGATGATTTGCATCATAGTTTATCTTTCCTAAGAGAATAATAGAAAGTCCCCAGATTTTGGCAACCACATCCCCTTGCAACCCCTGCAACATGATTTTCAATTACACACTCTCTCTCTCTCCCTATATATAAATTAGCTGATCCTATTCTAATATGTAATGGGGTAAGGGGAGGTAGGATAATAGGCTGCCCCAACGTCAGGTTGAGAGTAACTTCCGTGGAAGACCTCCGTTATGAATTGCCCTCAATGGGACTCGATCCCACGACCACAAGGTTAAGAGCCTTGCACTCTACCAACTGAGCTAGAAGAGCAATTATTTGAATTGTCATATATATATATATAACGAAATGTGATCATATGTATACATAAATTGTCCAAAGTATTTAGAACCTGAGAAGACGTTTTGCATGGCGTCTCTTGCCATTGAGACGATGAGCAATGGCATCATCTCTGCAAATTTCTTAATAATTGAATGACTATCAGTAAAGAAACCAGCCCAAATAGCATGTCCAAAGGCTAAAGTTAGGGCAACTGTAAGTGCCAGAATGAATGAGAGCTTGAGAGTCACGGCCATGGCATGCTTTGCGCCCTTCGGATTTCCAGCTCCCAATTCATTTGACACTCTTGTACTGTGTTAAAAAAGATAAGGGTTGCAATGTGTTATTACAATCATTAATTACGTTTAAACTCGAACTCGATTGAACCCGATTTATGAATACTCCTACATCCAATATTAACATTACAATCCGATAGTCTGAAAAACGAAACCGGTGCAAGAAAAACTAACCTTACTGCAGCACTAAGGCCATACATGATCATGATATCAAAAGAACAAAAATCTGTATTGATTAAAGCTTGGAGTTGTTATTTCTGGAGGAAAAAAAAAAGAAGAGAAAATGCCTACCATATTGCAATCAATGAAGTTGTTATTTCTGGATTTGGCATTAAACCAGCTAAAAGCACAAGAATCTCAAAAGCCCAACACTCCAGACTGGCTGAAGATTTCAACATCGAAAGAATATCAGTAATTATGATCAACATTCGTAATAAATTTTATGTTAGATTCGAATGTGAGTATTGAACATAGACATGTGTCCAATACGAATATGTTAGATTCGAATGTAAGTGTCGAATATATCAAATACTAGGGAAATGAAAAAGGGTTCGACACTCTGGTACTCACCAAATCATTGCTGAAAAAGGAAAGCCTCATTTCAAGTTCGGTACGATGTACTGAAATGATTCAAAAGACAATCCTTTCCATGTGTTGTTAAATTTGTTGGCAAAAACAACATATATATAGCTAACAAAAGGAACGATATCCATATCGAAATTGAAGCAGCCATGGGAGCACCTTTGAAACCAAGACTTGTCTTATTCACCAGACTGTAAACAATCCCAAAATGGATTCCCAATGGAATGAAAGAGAACATGACCAATAGTATAACAATGCTTTGTGTCTGAAGAAACCGCAGTATGTTTTGCAGAAAACCATAAGCAAACAAACCAGGAATCAAAAGCTTTATGTAAAGAGCAGCCGTTCTTGAGAACTGAGGATCCTGATGAAGCAAAACAAGGATTGGCTTGGTGAAGAACCATAGAATCGATATGATGATTGAGAAAAAGAAGGAAATAATGCAGGAAGCTTGTAGGTGAATCCCCATCTTGTACATTCTTGTACCAAATCCTTGACCACAAAGAGTCTCCAACAAAGCTCCACTTAAACCTGTCTGGGAATTTACAAAATTTTTCAGATGAGAACATGAAAGGGGTTAAAGTTAAATGAAGAGGTTATACCATGAAAGCGAAACCAGTAACAATAGCCCATGAATTTCCAAGAGTTGAACCGGCAAGCTCGACATCACCAAAAGTTTAAGAGAAAATAACCTCAGTGACCAAAAATGCCTTATAATATACGATTTTAACCAACTTTTTTTGGATTTGCCAAAATGACCAACTAAATCGCAATGCGATCGATAATTCGCAACGCGATCTCCGGTATCGCAAATCAGTTTCCAGATTCGCAACGCGAACTTCGACTATCGCATTGCGATTTACATATTCGCATTGCGATAGTCGAAGTTTGCGTTGCATTTTTCCAAATTCGTTGCGATAGTCCAAGTTCGTTGCGATAGTCCAAAATCGCAACGACTGGTGGTATTGCATTTGTTTCTTAAGAATTTTCTCTAAAAAAATAGTATTCACGCGGACGTGTCGAAGACACGTATTACCACGACCACGAGACGAGACGAGACGGACGGCGGCGGCGCGCGAGAGTCCCCCTTGTTCTCTATCACTCAACAAGGAAGTGGGAAAGTCAAGCCTTAAATACTATTCTCAATAGTGTTTCCAATACTATGTGGGATTAAGCATTACCAACACTTGTTTCCAATACTATGTGATTATTCACGAAACAATTAACAATCATGCACCTTAAAACAACTGAATCAGCAACCAAGCATTAGTATTATACGATTAAATATGTCATAATTAAAAGTCAATCTACAATCAATCGCGATTATTGCAATTTTAAGCAGAACATTAAAACAAATTGCATCACTCGCGAGAATAAAAAAAATTGTTATCGTGCAATTACAATCAATTGAAAATAAATTAGAATTGCATGAAAACTAAACGAACCACAAATACTTTTCATACAAATACTAAAGTCATTAACTATAATTCACAAATAATATCACTATTTAAGGCTCAATCCCACATAGTATTGGGAACAAGTGTTGGTAATGCTCAATCCCACATAGTATTGGAAACACTATTGAGAATGGTATTTAAGGCTTGGCTTTCCCACTTCCTTGTTGAGTGATAGAGAACAAGGGAAACTCTCGCGCGCCGCCGCCGCTGCCGCCGTCGTCCGTCTCGGGTCGTGGTCGTGGTCGTGGTCCTGGTAATACGTGTCTTAGACACGTCCACGCGAATACTATCTTTTTAGAGAAAATTCTTAAGAAACAAATGCAATACCACCAGTCGTTGCGATTTTGAACTATCGCAACGAATTTGGGATAAATCGCAACGCGAACTTCGACTATCGCAACGAACTTGGACTATCGCAACGAATTTGGAATAAATCGCAACGCGAACTTGGACTATCGCAACGAACTTGGACTATCGCAACGCGAACTTGGACTATCGCAACGAACTTGGAATAAATCGCAACGCGAACTTCAACTATCGCAACGAACTTGGAATAAATCGCAACGTGAACTTCGACTATCGCAACAAACTTGGACTATTGCAACGAACTTGGACTATCACAACGCGAACTTGGACTATCGCAATGAATTTGGAAAATCGCATTGCAATAGTCGATGTTCGCGTTGCAAATCTGGAAACTGATTTGCGATACTGGAGATCGCGTTGCGAATTATCGATCACATTGCGATTTAGTTGGTCATTTTGGCAAATCCAAAAAAAAGTTGGTTAAAATCATATATTATAAGGCATTTTTGGTCACTGAGGTTATTTTCTCAAAGTTTAATTAGGCTAAACTACCCACTTCCTTTCTTTCTTTTTTTTTACAATTTTTTTGAATTAATCACTGGTATCCGATCTATTTACCGACTAATCCAAATCGAGTACTGTAAAGGCGAGGGCGACCCCCCAACCCAGTTTGCTCCATTCGCAAACGTCAGGATTCAAACCTCTGACCTTGCTTAAGGGACCTAGTGTCTCATCCCACTAGACCAACTGTAGTGTCTCATCCCACTTGACCAACTGGTTGTTGGTCATCCCACTTTTCTTATTTGTGCAAACTTTTTCTTTCTTTTTTGTTTTCTTGCTTAAGGGACCTAGTGTCTCATCCCACTAGACCAACTGGTTGTTGGTCATCCCACTTTTCTTATTTGTGCAAAAAACTCTATAGTGGGTGTGCATTTTGGGACTTTTGGTCAACGTCTGATAGCTGTGATTGTCATTGCCGGCGTCATTGTGCTCGCCCTGTTGTCGTCGTTCATCCAATGGTCTCAGTTTTTCGTTTGCAGCTGATGTTAGCTTTATCAGGGGGAAGAAGTTTAGGGTTTTGTTAAAAACTTAATTTTTGATGTTCTTTTCTGCAAACTGACCTATCTAAGTTATTCCCCATGCTCCAAAATAATTTTCTGAAAATTTTCATCCGAAAACCATAGCCAGACAGTGTCCCACACGCCCCTACACGTCGCCTTGCACGTGTGGGAGTGTTATGACAATTCAAAACCAGTTGACTCGTTGACCAACCCGACCCAATGGTCTCAGTTTTTCGTTTGCAGCTGATGTAGCTTTATCAGGGGGGAAGAAGTTTAGGGTTTTGTTAAAAACTTAATTTTGATGTTCTTTTCTGCAAACTGACCTATCTAAGTTATTCCCCATGCTCCAAAATAATTTTCTGAAAATTTTCATCCGAAAACCATAGCCAGACAGTGTCCCACACGCCCCTACACGTCGCCTTGCACGTGTGGGAGTGTTATGACAATTCAAAACCAGTTGACTC